CAGCCCGGTCTATAAAGTGAGTTCTAGGACAGCCAGGGCTATTACACTGAAAAACCCTGTCTCAAAAACCCAAAGTAAATAAACAAAGAAACAAATAAATAAGGAAGGGGTGTGTGTGTGTGTGTGTGTGTGTGTAGCCCCCAAGAGGGCTTAGCTGGCATAAGGGTTCTTGCTATAAAGCCTGAGAATCAAACTTTATCCCCACATGATGGAAGAAAAGAACCAAGCCCTACAAGTTGTCCTCTGACCTCCACACAGGCTATGGTGCACACACAAAAATAAATAAACGTAATAAAAAGGTAAATACATAAGGAAGAGAAGACCTCATATGATAAATGCCATACCAGTAGTTGTTGTATATCGTTGGGAAAACCCTAACCCACAAAGTCTGTGCGTCTCAAAGCAAATATGGCTCCCACCCCTGCGTTCATGGCACCCTCGGGTCCGCGTTCTTGTCCTGCACAAGTCGACTCTTCATTTTCTCCTAATTCACTGTTGACCCGGCTCTCAGTGGTGATGATTTTGTCCCCTTTTGCTTGAATGTGAAATAAATTTGTCTCAATTCAGTCTGGGAAATTTCAAACCAGCCTGGTCTACTCGGCTAAGCCCTGAAGCCCCACCGGCTCTGGTTCCCTTCTGGGTCGGCTGCTTGCTCACCCCGCAGCAAGGGCTGGCTGCTCAGCTGAGGGGCAGTGACCTGGGGCGGAAGCTCATTTTCCACGTGTGTAACCTTTCCCCCATTTTACACCCCACCTCCTCTCCCCTGTTGTCAGCAATCTCCTGTCTGCAGGGCCCAGGTTTCTGGGGTTTGGCTGTATTGATGTGCCTCTCACAAGTCTCTCACACCAAGGAAGTGCTTGGTTTGTATCTCTGGACTGCAGCTCCTGTAGGGGCTGTCTATCTTCCCACGGCGCCTGAAGGCTGCTGTCTGCTCCCCTGTTCCTTCTCATTCTTTTTTTTTTTTTTTGTAGCTTTGTGCCTTTAAAAGCTCTTTTATCCTGTGACCTCAGCATTCAGGAGGATGGAGAACTCAGGGTCATCCTTGTTCACGCATCAAGTTTTGAAACCGGCCTTGGCTACAAGAGACTCTGTTCCAACACTCCTGAACTGGCAAAAAAAAAAAAAATAATAATAATAATCCTTTTTGTTTCATTTTGTGGGTAATACACAACAAATGTGCTCAATGCAGTGTTTAATTGAAAGCCCAGTATTTTGACCTCTTTCGGGTTTGTTCACAGCCACTCCCTGTAATCTGGGTTAGCTCTGGGAGCTTCGCGAACCTATCTGGGCAGCTGCAGGACCCGCGTCTGCTGCTTAGAGACAGGCAGGGAATCTGCTGAGGTCAACAAATACTCACAAACCGTTAACTAGGAAGGTTTCCCATCATCTGGTGGTTCAAGAAGTCTATCAACACTTAATTTAATTTTCAACAGTTAATTAATTTTCCGAGTACCTACCACGCACCAGGGCGCTGCAGGAGGTGATGGGATCGTGGTGGTAAATGGAACTGATGAAGTCCGCTTGTGGGCTTTAAAATGTGCGGAGGGAGGACAAACAATGGCAAAGTAAGTTTATAAACTCTCGGATGGTAGAGAATGTTGAGAGGGTGACAAATGAAAGTACTGTGGTTTGGATATAAATGTCTCCCACTTTCAGAAGTAGGCCCAGTTAAAAGGAGTAGGTTGTTTGGGGTGGGGGGTTAGAAGGTGACACCTGATACTAACTCCTGGCCTTGCTCTCTCTGCTTCCTGTCTGTCATGAAGTGAAAGGCCTCTTCTTACTCATGTTCCTGCTGCCAGAATGTTTGGCCCAAGTGCATGGGTTCAAGTAACCAAGGACTAAGCCCCCTGAAACTGTGAGCCAAGATAAACCTTTTCCTCCTTTATGCTGTTATCTAACGTATTCTGGTCACAGCTACACAAAAGTGAGGAATGCCTGGGTTAGCACCATGCAGTGAGTATAGAGGCCACACTGGGAAAGGGTCTGGGAAGCCTCTCCCAGAAGGTGACATCCGAGCAGTCCTCTTACTTAGCAAGACTTATTTTTGTGAAGATCTGGGGCAGATATTAGGGATCACAAAAGTCCCACAGTGGAACCGGTTGTGGGAGTGCATATCTATAATCCCAGCACTCAGGAGGCTGAGGTAAGACCAAAAGCCTAAAGTCAGCCTGGGCTACAGAACAAGATTCAGACCAACCTGGGGTACCTAGTAAGATCTTATCTCAGGGGCCTACAGGAAGATGGCTCAGCAGGTAAAGGCACCTGCCACCAAACCTGACATCCCGAGTTTGTTTGTTTGTTTGTTTCACATACCAATCCCAGTTCATGACCCAATCTTAATCCCCCAGAACCTACCTAGTGTGGAGAGAACTGACTCCCACAAGTTGTCCTCTGGCTGCTACACGCATGCTGTGGCAGGAATGCTCCCCCATGTAATAATGTTTACTAATATAATAAGACCTCATTATCAATTAAAAATAAACAAAAAGAATCCATGGTAGAGAAGGGCTCAGTGCACTCACAGAATAGAAAGGCCAAGGCCTGACACTGAGGGGTGAGATATGAGAGAGAGAGAGAGAGAGAGAGAGAGAGAGAGAGAGAGAGAGAGCAGACAGCTGCACTGAGCTCTGCAGCTGCTTCGAGCCTGTAAGGTACTGCCCTTGTTGAGGCAGACCTCTCCTTGAGGAGACAGAATCCTACGAAATTAACGAGACAAACAGAATTTCAAAACAGAGACCCAGAGAAGATCCTATCACATCAAAACTATCATGACATAAGATAGCTCGTTTCTTAAAAGTGTCGTTAGAAGCAGGCTGACCACGGGGGTAAGTGTAGCCTCATGTGGGAGGTGATATTTGAACCGAATGGCCACGGGTGAGTTATATTTATAGGTGCAGAAAAAAAACAGAGGAAGAGGGTAAGAACCTGGACAGAGGTTTGGATACCGGGGTGACCGTGATGTGTTTATGCAGAAGCGGTGAACAGTTTGGCTGTGAAAAGTAGGTAAACAGATGTGAGCCTTGGAATCCTGCTTCATCAAGTGGTGGGAGGGAGGGGCTAAACATGTCTCAGAATCCCGTCTACACTGACACCCGGTGCTTCTTCTCATCCTCATTGGAGCTGCCACGTTCTGTTGTGTGGCTCTATCTTGGAGAACAAGGACCTGCTGACAGACAGTTAGCTTGTTTCCGATCACCTGCTATCTCAACAAGTAGCCTGTGTGTTTATCATTTCACGCCTTCAAGTCTCTCTGTACATTGATTCCAATAAGATGGTTTCAAGAATGAAATGTATCTGTAATTTTAGCATCACTTCCGGAGTCTTTTGGTAGGAATGATACTTTATCTTTCATTGTCACTAATACATCTGAGAGGGACCAGTAGATCTTCCCAAAACTGTTATGTGAGAGATTCTGTTTCTGTTTAATTTCAGTGTTCATTTTTCTCATCATGCACTTCCACATTTTAAGTATTTTTTCTTTTTTTAAAGATACATTTTTTTAAATTATGTGTATGTGTCTATGCACGTGAATGTAGGTGCTTGTGGAGGCCAGAAGAGGGTGTTGGGTCCCTTGGGGCTGGGGTAGTTACACACAGTTATGAGCCACTTGATATGGATGATGGGATCAAACTGCATCTACCACAAGAGCAATATGCACTCTTAACCACTGGACTACCTCTCCATTCCCTAAATACTCCATATCTTATTTTGTATAAACTTTTGCCCCCCCAACAAAAAAAATCCATATGTTATATGTAGTAAAACGAACCAGCCGGTGGTGGCACATGCCTTTAATCCCAGCACTCAGGAGGCAGAGGCGGATGGATCTCTGTGAGTTCAAGGCCAGCCTGGTCTACAAGAGCTAGTTCCAGGACAGACACCAAAGGTACAAAGAAACCCTGTCTCAAAAAAAAAAATTAAAAAAAAAGGTTCTAACTTTAAGTATATAGAATTAAAATAAGAGACCAGTCAGGCATGTGGCCCACACTTTTAACCCAGCACTCAGGAGGCAGAGCAGGTAGATCTCTGAGTTTGAGGCCAGCCTGGTCTTAGTGAGTTCCAGGACAGCCACGGCTACACAGAGAAACTCTGTCTCAAACAAACAAACAAACAAATCATGCCTCATTCATAAAAACACTTAACTTGGGCTATTGGATATGGCTAGGGCTGTCCTGGGAGAAGAAGTGATAAAGGAGTTAATTTTCTTACAATGTCAGACACAACAACGGTGCATCTGGTATCATAAACACTTAGTACCTTTCTTCTCTGGAGAAGATGAGGAAGCCTCTGGTGCATGCTACAAAAAATGTGGGAACAAATTAACTTTTGCATCACAGTCCTACCTTTGTGATCAATAGTGTCTGATTTGTCAACGTCTCTCAGTTGTATAATTCTTTTAAAAAAAACTTGTGTATATGCTGAGCAGTGGTGGTGCACGTCTTTAATCCCAGCACTTGGGAGGCAGAGACAGGCGGATCTCTGTGAGTTCGAGGCCAGCCTGGTCTACAGAGCAAGTTCCAGGACAGGCTTCAAAGCTACAGAGAAACCCTAACTCGGAAAACCAAAACCAAAACAAAACGTGTGTGTATGTGTGGTTTGTGTGCAGGAGAGCAGTGCTTGTGGAAGATAGAAAGCATCAGATTCCCTGGAGCAGGGATCCCCAGGGGCTGTGAACTCCCTGACCTGAACGCTTGGAACCAAACTTGGCTACTCTGCCAGAAAATATCTGGAGCCAGCTCTGCTATTGAGTCTTTGATGTTATTTAGTTTTGTTTGGCTGGTTTGGTGTGGCGTTTGTCCTTGTTTTGAGGCAGGGTCTACCGTAGTTCAGGCTGACTCCATTCACCGAGTAGCCTAGGATGGCCTTGAATTTGTGTTCTGCTACCTCCGCCTCCCAAGGATTGGGATTACTTCCACCTCCCAAGGATTGGGTTAATTCCACCACACCTGGAGACTTCCCTCTTCTGCCTGTGTTGGATAGCCATGTTCTCCTCCCTGCAGGTGGTACTGTGAAGGCAAAGAGCTCGAAAACTCCCCAGACATTCACATCGTGCAGGCCGGAAACCTGCACTCGCTGACCATCGCCGAAGCCTTTGAGGAGGACACAGGGCGGTACTCCTGCTTCGCTTCCAACATCTACGGGACAGACTCAACGTCTGCTGAGATTTACATAGAAGGTACGGCTGCATGCTTCTGAGGCCTGGCATATGCTCTCAAACTATAAGGATGTGTAATTAGATAAACATTTGATGAGGGTCTGTTCTGTCCATCCAGACACTGGGAATAATAGACATGAATCAAGTAGACAAAGGTCTTTAGATGGAGGACATGTTGATTTGCATTGTAATGGGAGAAACTGCAGACGGATGAGATAAATGGTGGTAAGATACAGCATCACAAAGGAAACAGAAAATAGTGTGTGTGTTGTAAGTTTTGACTGGGTGACCTAATGTCACTAACCAGGTGACATCTGAAGGGAGACCTGGAGGGAGAGGTGGTCACAGGAAAGTCAAGGGAACTTACTCCAGGCAGAGAAATCAGCAAATGCAGCAGCCCAGAGGTGAGATAGCCCCAGTCCGGAGGTAGAGATGAGCCAGTGTGTTGGGTCAGCAAGATGCCTCACACTAAAGATAAAAGCCTGGAACCTGAGTTTGATCACTGGTATCCACGGTGGAAGACAGAACCAATTCCCAAGTTGTCATCTGACCTCCATACATGCCTACAGACACACACACTAATAATAGTAAGAATAATAAACAAAAACAATTTCAATAAAATGGGAAGCGTTGAACTCGTGCGGCCAGAGTAGAGCAAGCAAAGGTGAAAGCAATAGGAAATGAAGCCTGAAGTTCAAGATGAGTGGGAGGTGGAGGGAGGCATGTGAGCTGATTCTAAGTCTTCAGCAGTCATGGCAAGGGCTTTGCTTCAGAATAACAAAGGAAACTCTGGAAGGTTCTGAGCAGAGACGTGGCATAATCTGACTTACCCTCGCTGCTGGTTGAGGATATACACTCTGGAGAGTCAGGGATAGAAGTCTGGCAACCGCTTGAAACATTTGGGGTGGCGTTTGCAACAGTACCAAGCACGAACGCACGGATAATTTTTGAGGAGAAATCAATTTGTAGTTCTCGGCTATCTGTTAAGCTTTCGCTCCTATTTGTTTCATCCTCTGAGTTTTATCTGGAGGATCTTTCTCCCGTACTTTTTCTTGCCTATACAATACCTTTGGTAAGCCTTGCCTCCAGCACTTACATAACGTGTGATCATGGACTAAATACTCATTTGCCAAGAAGACTGCAAGGTCCAAATGGTCTCATTCCTCTCTATCTCTGATCATTTCCACAGAACTAAGCACATAGTGAACATCCAACAGACATTTAGTAAAGAAATATATTCGTAGAAATGTGTCGCATGTTTTTAGCCTCAAGTCTTTGGAGTACAATAACACCTCCAGGTTTAGCTCTACTGTATATGCCTGGAATTTCCGATCTGGAGAAATAAATCTAGGACCTGGTAGGAGAACTGAGATTGGATCGCTATTGGCTTGCTTTTCCACTCTGGCATCTGGACATCGAACACTCCCACTCCCAAGATGGAGGGTGACTTGCTAATATTAGGGCAGGACGGAAGAGCACCTACCTACACTTACAGTGTTTGGAATCCGGAATAATCCCCCCTTTCACCCACTCTGTGTGGGTTTATGAGCACCAGGGAATGCCTGCAAAAGCTGTCCTGTTACTCCACAGATCTTAGCAGGTGTTTTACACCCTGGAATTTAGAACTTGGCCCTGTGTGTTTAAATTGTATCACTCAGTGGGCACATGTCCCTGACCGAATCCTTTCGATTCTTAGGGTCTACTTCCTCCTATGACAGATTAGATGTTCGCGGGAGGAGACACTGGGTTTCTTCTGAGCCTAAGATTCCTTTTCAGAGCTTCAAATGCCTAGGAATTTGTTTACTAGATTATCATCTTTAAAATCCCATCTTTTGTTTTCATTTCTCTAGGAGTTTCTTCCTCTGACTCAGAAGGGGACCTTAACAAAGAAGAGATGAATCGGTAATTCTATAGCCTAAGCATCCTCAGGCCCCAGGAGAACCTCTAATTAATGTCTAGAACTTGAAGGAGGTGGTTCCATGGTCAATCGTAACATCATGAAATATATATATATACATACATACACACACACACACACACACACACACACACACACACACACACACACGGGCAGATTTGGGAAAGTCTCAATTTGTTTTTGCTTAAATCCTGCCCAGCAGATTAATTTGAATCTTCCTGATACTTAAAAAATGAAATATTATCATGGTTTTGTCTACAGGATTAAAAACTATAACCCAGTGACTTTTAAAATACATTTTTAAATAGTATTTTTAAAGCTGGGTATGGTGGAACACACCTGTAATTGCAACACTTGGGAGGCTGAGACAGGAGGATTGCCAAGAGTTTCAGACAATATAAATGTCTTGGCAAGTCATAGTTCTTTTGCTAAACAGTGGTACTGAGTCAAGTTTTATCTATGTAGTTATTACAACCTTGATGGAGCCCCTTCTATGGCCCAGGTACTGCACTAGATCCAGTGGGCATGGAGAAAAATCACAGGCTTCCTGCCTGTTCAGATTTAAGGTCTAGTGGAGGGACGAGTACAGGAAGTAGGGCAAGAAACGGGCAAGGGTAATGGGATGCTGTGGGATACGGCCATGTAGGCTGTGCAGAACTTGGATGGATACCCCATTGGTCAAGCAAGAAAGGCTTCACAGAGCTATGGGATTATCCTACCCTCCCCACAAAGGGGAAGCTCGGAAGGGGAGAAATCACGTCTTAGTCCTCAAACGTTCTGTGCATCTACCCCTGCATTAACTTGTTCGCTCTTGTAGGCATGTGAACATTATAAGTCAAGGATTTATTTTTCTTTCCCCTTCTACCCCTTTCTACCGTCATTCTCAAGGCCTTTGTCCCATTCCTCCTCCTTGGGTCTGCGTACTATCACTTCCTTAAAGGCCCTTCCTTTTATAGACTTTGAAGTGCTACCAATTATTCTCAAACAGATCATTCTGGTCTCATCATGTTCCTGGCTTAGAAAAGATTGTCTGAGGCCAGGTGATTGTGGTGCGAGCCTTTAAACCCAGCACTCGAGAGGCAGAGGCAGGCAGATCTCTGTGAGTTCAAGGCCAGCCTGGCCTATAGAGCGAGTTTCAGGACAGCCAAGGGCACATAGAGAAACCTGTCTCAAACAAAACAAAACAACAAAACAAAAAGCAAGCTGAAACAAACAAACAAAAACTAAAAAAGATTATCTGTGGAAAAACAAAATCAAACATGAAACAGATAACATTTTTTGAAAATCTTCATGTGGCCTCCCTACAAAGCTGTCTTCAGGAGAATATCAACCAGGCTGCCCTCTGTCCCCCTACATCAGTCTCTCCAAGTGGCCAGCACCTCACTCAAACAGCACAGCAATTCACTTTCAGCTTTTCCTTTAAATTGTGCACCTTGTGGGATTTCCTGTTGCGAAATTTCCTACTCATGGTCCACACCCAGTCTGATGATCCCTCTCCGGATTCCGTAATAAACTCCTGCTCAGCCACACGATCATTGCACCTCTTTTGGGGACCCCCAGGGTCCTGTTACAAAGGCTGATGGGTATGAGTGTTGATCTACAAGTTTCAATAAGTGGAAGAGATCTCATGCATTCATTTGCGTTACTTGTTACCGCAAAGATTGTAGCTTCAGTTGTACATAACAGCGACCAAATTAACTGGGACTTAAGCAACCCTGGTATTCATTGCTCATTTACATCCAGATCAGGATTTGTCTGGCAAACAGGCTTCTCAGTCTACTGGGTACCTGCATGGGACATCATAGGTCTCCTGTGGCCAGATCCGTGGCCGCTTCACCTCATGCTAACACAGGATCCCATCTCCTTAGTGAGAAAGGAAGGTGTGAAGGACACGCCCACCCTCCTTTTGAGTCACCTCTCTTAAGCCGCACACATCACTCTTGCTCACGGCCCACGTCCAGGAAGTCATCCTAGGGACACACCTAGCCACAACGAAGGTTAAGAAATTCTCTTTATATGGAGCAGCTGAGTGAGAAGCCAAGTGACGCTCCTGTCGTAGAAGGAAACACGCTGCGGAGACAGCGATAGCCTATGGGACTTCGCTCCTTAGAGCACATGCTGCCTGCCTGGGGGGGAAAGTCATTCTGTGTCCTCATGTCCTCCTCGGCTGTCCAGGGATCCCACAGCCATCCATACTGAGCGTGGTGAAACAAGGACATGCTAATCTTCTGATGGGAGTTGGCTCTTTAACCCTCCTAAAAGACTGACGGGCTGTGAGTGGCTGTTTACCCATTGTAGAGATGAAGAAACTGAGAGGCAACATCCAGACCAAAGAAAGGGTAGCCTCCTGTCAGTGACCACAGGTCTCCACGGGCCATAGGTGAAAGGCCTGTGGTCAAGATCTTGAGGGCCCTTTAAACCCAACACTTACTGTTTCCCAGTGCTCTTTGGGACGACCAGAGTCTTCCCTCAAGACTCTGCCTTTCCCTCTGCCTTAGGGTATTTCTCTTGCCGGGTTCTCTGGCTAGATCCTCTCATACCTCTATCTTCCTCACAAAACTAGTTTTCCCTCTGCCTCCCTCTCACGAGGTTCAACACTCTTAAGTTAAATTGTATAAATCTGAAGAGGTTGTCACCTTCTGAATATTTGTACTTTATGCCAGGGCAAAATCCCAGACACACAATTTATAAAGCCTAGCCTCTTTATTTTCTTCCTTGCTCAAAATTGGAAAGGGGAGGAGCTAGGGATGTAGCTCAGTTGATGGAGCACTTGCCCAGTGTGCACTAAGCCCTGAATTTGATCCCCAGTACCGTATAAAACAGTCATGGTGGCTCACGCCTATAATCGGAGCACTCAGAAGGTAAAGAAAAAGGGTCAGAAGTTCAAAGTCCCCCTCAGCTACATAGCCAGTTCAAGGCCAGCAGAAAGAAAGACAGAAGAAGAGAGAGAGAGAGAGAGAGAGAGAGAGAGAGAGAGAGCCAAATTTAGTGGCAGACATTTAATCTCAGCACTTGGGAAGCAGAAGCAAGTGGATCACTGTGGCTTCCAGGCCAGCCTGGCCTACAAAGTGAAACCCTATCTCAAAATAGAAAGGAAAAAAAATAAAGGAGCGGGGCAAGAAGGAAAAGAAGAAAAGCAAAAAAGAAATGAGAAGTACAATAGAGAAAGTATCAGCAAAATAGATCTTTGAAAATTATCTCCAGCCTGTGCTGTGTCCGTCACTGGTGAATCTCAGGTCACTGTAGATATGTCTGAATTGCTAGCTGTACCCCAAGCAAAGAATCCAAGCTAAGAATGTTGTCTTCATGCGTGTTGCCCAACAGAATGTGTAGCCATGAAATGTTGGTGAATACTTGTAGAACACTGTCAAAGACTTGCTATAGCCAACAGCAAGCAATGCTGACATTACTGGCTTTGCTGACTTTCACAAGCAATTCTAGTTCTGTGTTATAATCTACATTTTAATAATTTCTCAGAATCCAGAAGCCAAATGAGTTGTCATCTCCTCCCACTACCTCTGCAGCCATTCCTCCAGTAGCCCAAGGCCAGCCCAGAGTGTCCACCGTCCAGCAGGTACGAATCTACGTTGAGCGCAAGTGACCATGACCGCCTTGCGTGGCAAGGTCATGCCCGCTGCTGTAATTGATCATTAAGTAATCGCTTGTCCTTCGGCTCATGAGCTCATTGCTTCCCATGGCTTTGGGGACCTAGTCTCCTCCTTGGGAAAACAGCATAGGAAAAGAGACGTTTGACAAATTGGTATCTGGCACCCCCATTTTATAAAAAGTGCTGATCATATGTGAACCAATGGGTGTGCATCTTAACTTTATTTCATGGAAAATGAAATAATTCTACTTCCTACGACAAAAAGGAAGTAGTTTTCTTTTTTTCAAAAAGAGAGTAAAGACTCATGTCTTTCAAGCTGATGATAGTATTTGTTATAAAACACTCTGTATAGAAGCATATTAAGTAAAAACTTTAATGCGACTGACAGTTGCATGGCTGGGGCAGACTGAGGGGCCACTGGCAGTGGCACCAGGATTTATCCCTACTGCATGTACTGACTTTTTGGGAACCCATTCTCTTTGGATGTATACCTTGCTCAGCCTAGATATAGTAGGGTGGGCCTTGGGCCTTCCCCAAAGCAATGTGCCTTACCATCTCTAAGGAGTGGATGGGGGTGGAGTGGGAGAGTGTGTGGAGGGAATGGGAGGAAGGGAAGGAATGGGAACTTGGTATTTTTTTTTTAAATCTAATAAATTGAAAAAAACAAAATAGCAACAACAACAAAAAAAAAACCTTTAATCAGGGCTGGAGAGATGGCTCAGAGGTTAAGAGCACTGGCTGCTCTTCCAGAGGTCCTGAGTTCAATTCCCAGCAACCACATGGTGGCTCACAACCATCCATAGTGAGATCTGGTGCCTTCTTCTGGCCTGCAGGCAGAATATAGGCAGAACACTGCATACATACTAAATAATAAATCTTAAAAAAAATTTAAATAGATGAGGTGGATGAGGTCTTTATCTGGTTATCTAAAAGTCTAGAACTCAAAATAAGTAATATTCTGGTACACTACTTTAAAAAAAAAGAAAAAAAAACTTTATTCAGAGCTGGAGAGATGGCTCAGTATTTAAGATGGAGTGGGCAGCTCACAGTTAACCCTAATTCTGGTTCCTGGGGATCCAGCTGCCCCTTCTGGCATCCATGGGCACCTGCAGGCATATGCACAGAGACTGACACCTACACATATAAATAAAATTAAAATAGAATCTAAAAAAAAACCCACCAACTGTAGTCAAGCTTGTATCTCGATACCCTATCCTCAGATGAATCTCCTGTCAACAGTAATAATTGCTAGGAGAGACTTCCAGGCATTTCCTATTCACGTATAAAAATATTCATATACACATGTACTTTAAAACATGAAATTAGGGCTGGAGAGATGGCTCAGTGGTTAAGAGCATTGCCTGCTCTTCCAAAGGTCCTGAGTTCAATTCCCGGCAACCACATGGTGGCTCACAACCATCTGTAATGAGGTCTGGTGCCCTCTTCTGGCCTGCAGACATACACACAGAATATTGTATCCATAATGAATAAATAAATAAATAAATTTAAAAAAACATGAAATTATTCTTTCTAAATGTACTTGCTGCATGCCAATTATAATCTAAACAAATATATTTTGATGTATTGATCTACAGCTTAAAAAATAATGAGAATGACTTATCGAACTTTGAGTCCAAGTCCCTTGGTTTTTAAACACTGATTTGTGTAGCTCCCAGGACTTGAGCGTCTTTAGAGTAGGGCTAGTTACCCGGTCCGTGGGGGTGGGAGAAGTGTAATGTTATAGCCAGCCTGACCTAGGAAGAAATGCAATCGGTTCAGACTGCAATCTCAGGTCTATGATTCATGAATTTAGAAAACACTGGTCTTTTGATGTGAGATTAATTTTATAGAACGAAGCCTGTAGATTCGTTATCTCAGTCTACCCATGCAGCAACCCTGGTGACAATGAACGCATTGTTGGTTCTCTCCCTACAGTGTCAGAGTCCCACCAGCTATTTGCAAGGACTGGATGGGAAGCCTATCATCGCGGCCCCAGTGTTTACGAAGGTAACCAAACAAGACGTCTTTCTTTCTGCCAGGGTTGAAACACCGGGGAATCCAGACAAAGGGCCTAAGAGCCTCTGATTTTATCTCAGGATTTGTCTTTTGGAAGTACAGAAGTACAGTGTAGGATTTAAGGGTTTCTGTGTTTTGGTCATTTCTATGGCATCATGTCTGGCCCCAAGCTTATTTATTTTATTTTACTTTTTGAGATGGGATCTCACATATCCTAGGCTTGCCTTGAACTTGCTATGTAACTTAAGATAACCTTGAACTCCTGATACTCTTTACCTCAACCTCTTGAGTGCTGGGATTACAACTACACCCATTTTATTCATTGCTGGGAATAGAACTCAGGTCAGAGCCTTGTGTGTATTAGGCAAGCGCTCTGCCAGTTAAGGTAGCGACATCCCCAGCCCCTCTTTTCTGCTTCTTTCTTTCTTTTTTCCTTCCTTCCTTCCTTCCTTCCTTTCTTCCTTTCTTCCTTTCTTCCTCTCTCGCTCCCTCCCTTCTTTCTTTGTTTCTTTCTTTCTCCCCCCACCCCTTTTTTTGAGACAAGGTTTCTCTATGTAGCCCTGGCAGTCCTAGAACTCACTCTCCAGACCAGGCTGGCCTCGAACTCACAGAGATCCGCCTGCCTCTGCCTCCCGAGTGCTGGGATCAAAGGTGTGCGCCACCATCGCCCAGCAGCAAACTCCCTTTGCCACGCCACTTCTCTCCTCCAGAACTCTCCTCTTTGTTAGGAAGCGGAAAGCCCTTCCTTGTCATGTAGCTAGAAGACACTCAGGCTCAGCACCGAGATCACCTGGTGAAACAGAACAAGAAATCCAAAACTGGCAAAGAGCTTTTCTGCTCTAATCTGGCTGAGTCATGTCAGGCAGAGTGGGGACCATCATGCAGCGAGCAGGAGGTCTCATTATTGGCGGCCCAGGCGCCACAGGCGTGTGGCCTCCCATGGGTGGCTGCATTCCAGGAGCAGGAGGGCCGGTCATGGCATCGAGGGAAGGCCTCCCATGTGGGGTGCAGGCCTCATGCCAGGGCAAGGAAGACCCAGGAGACCTGGGGGGTGGGGGTGGGATCATGGCCCCAGGAGGAGGAGGAGTAGAGAGTGAACCTGGACCTGGAGGTAGCTTTCCTTGTTGAAATACAGCTGTTGTTTCGTCAGTCAGGCGCCAGGTCTGCTCCTACACCCGTGTCTGGGATGAGTCTTTCATGTTCGCCTTGTGTTTCCGACTGCTGCAGTGTCCCCCTCACAGATCATGGGTAGGATAGACCTCACAGTCCTCACAATAAAACCTAGGCATGTTGCTCCTCAGGCCATTGGCTACCTGGTTCCTCATTGCCCCAAGTCTCAGAGTTCTAAAGCCAGTTCTTGTCTCGAGGGAAGTGTACTCCCTGCGAACCATGACCTTTACGCCGTTCTAGAGGTTGTTAAACAGTCACCTGGAATCAGGTGACAAGGTGCCAGCTGCTTGTTCTTCTAGAGACATATCCTGACTTTCAGGAGGATCTGGTTGTGGGGCTTGTCTTTGGTGCTCAAGGAAACAGAGCTAAGTCATTTTAGGAGCTTTAACCTAAAGCCTGGATTAGGACAAAGAGCTCGTTCTTGTGTTCCTTGGTATTAGCGGCTATAGAGTCACCAAATTTTGAATCACACAGTCTTTGTATTTTGAACTTGAAAATTCAGCTAGAGATTTTCATTTACAAAGGAAAAATCCAAGGAAGGGTCAGAGAGATTAAACTAAAATTCAGCCAACATCGCAGGACTAGCTAATGGTAGAATCAGGAGGAGGAACAAGTTTTCCCGCTTCTAAGACGCTGGTTCTTCTATGTGCAGCACACGGTGTTGCTCAAGACAATGAGTTCAAAGGTTAAAAAAAAATAAGTCACACTGGATTTTTTTTCATGTTATGAAGATCAAATGTATCTTCATGATGTTCTTCTTAGTATGAACAGCACATGTAAGCCCAAAGAGATTTTTATTCTATAAAAAAATATGACTTGATCCATGGATATTAGTTGTGTCTGATTTTGTTCTCCAGGGGTCATTGATAATGTCTGGGAACACTTGACTGTCACATGAAAGGGCTGTGCTAATGGCATTTGGAGACGTTGCTGAGCACAGTACAGCACCCAGGGTGCCAGCCCCCCACGGCAAAGAATCATCTAACCCTAAATCTCTAGACTGCCCAAGATGAGGAACCCCGATTTCAAAAAAAAAAAAAAAACCGGAAAATCTGGTCTTTTCTAGCGGCACCGATACCCTCAATGGATCCACAACTGTCCTAGAAGTGAGGGTTTGGCCATATTGGACGAGATCATCCAAGTTGGCTTCCCAAGATCCATCACAGTCTAGAGTCATCCTTGTTTACTCGTTCCCATGTTGATTAGGTGCATTTCCTGATGTGAATAAGGTTTCTATTTTTTAGGTTTGTTTAATAGTCTGACTCTGGTTGTTTTAGCCTCACTATTGTAAAAGACTGGAAGTAGGAACATACCATGTTATGATTTAGTGGATACAAGATTCTGAAGAGGAATTGTAGATGGGCTGTGTGTGTGTGTGTGTGTGTGTGTGTGTGTGAGAGAGAGAGAGAGAGAGAGAGAGGGAGAGAGAGAGACTGTGTGTCTCTCTCTGTGTATCAGTGTACCTGTGTGTGTTTACTGGTGTATCTGTATATGTGTGTCTGCTCTGTGTGTGTGTGTGTGTGTGTGTGTGTGTGAGAGAGAGAGAGAGAGAGAGAGAGAGAGAGACTGTGTGTCTCTGTGTGTGTGTGTCAGTGTGCCTGTGTGTGTTTACTGGTGTATCTGTGTATGTGTGTCTGCTGTGTGTGTGTGTGTGTGTGAGAGAGAGAGAGAGAGAGAGACTGTGTGTCTGTGTGTGTGTCAGTGTGCCTGTGTGTGTTTACTGGTGTGTCTGCTGTGTGTGTAGTAGATATATTTTTGTCATCTCTTATTGACACTGCTAAGCCATCTAGCCTTAAGAGACAACATAAAAGCAACACAGAAATAAGCATTTGTCCCGTCCGTTCGTCACGGGTTCCAGACAGCATCACCTCTTCAAAGGGAGCTGAACTACCAAATACTCTGGTGGTCCCAATAGTCTCCTTTCTCCCCATTCTCAGCACCTACCACCGTTCCTTCAAATCTTAGGTGTGCTAAGATCCCCGTCTCCCAGAGCGCATGCCTCGTACGCTCAGCACAGGTAAAGCTCTTTATAGTTGAGGATTTTCCCAATCACCCTGAAAGCTACGTGTGATGTGCAGATAGAAGTTTAAAAGGTGAAGTCTGGCACACCGACACAGGCCTCTAATGCTAACAATCGGCAGGCTGAGACAGAAAGAGGCTGTTCGAGACCAGCCTGGGCTACATAGAAAGATCCTTTCTCAAAAACTAAGTTTGAAAGGTTCTCTTTAAAAATCTGGGTTCAGAGTATAGTTCGGTGGTTAGTTAGGTGCTTTACCTAGCAAGCACAATGCCCTGGGTTTAACCCTCAGCACAAGAGGAGGAGGAGAGAGAGGGAGAGAAAGAGAGTCAGATAGGACCCTTTAATAGTCTTTATATTTAATTTCCAAGATCAATCCAAGCATTTGTATTAACTGCTTTACTGGGGTGACTCTGAATGCCTCTCTCTGATTAGATGTTCTGACTGGCAGATGAAAATGCCTCTGACAAATGAAAGTGAGAAAATGAATTGATCCTTAGATTCAGTGAAGTCTATAAAAACTATTAGCCTGCTGGTGGGAACCCAGCTCAGATGCACACTGTGTGGAGGTTCCTCTGCCCTCTGAGTGTGAGCTCTCGCCTCCATAAATGGGATTGCCCGGGGACACGGGGCAGCAGGGTAGGCTGGGGTTCAGATTCCAGAGAGACTTATCAGCTGCAGTGTGCTTGCGTTAGCCTCCGTCAGCGAGGGCAGGACTGAGGTCACAGTCGCTGCCTGTGTCGTTAGCGAATCTCTGAGTCACAGTTACCAAGGATGGTATTTCTCCACCAAGTGATGATAGCAGGTGATCTGCATACATATCTGTCCAGGTTGTTCTGTCTCTGTCTCTCCCTTCAGGGACCTCTGGCGGCCTGGCTCCTGTGACTCACTTTCTATACGGTCCAACAAAGCATTTCTTTGCCAATTATGGCGTTGATTAGAGAGTTTTATTTAACTCCGTTTCCTTTCTTTGGTGATCTTCCTTTTATAGACGGTTTAAGTGAAAAGGAGAATTGCCCGGACAAATGGGGACAGAGTTAAGAGCAGGCTATGGTTTTACTCAGAGCAGGCTCTGAGTTTACTCAGAGAGGGGCTGCCTGTGCCTCGCGTTTGTTTGTTGTGTATTGAGTGTGTGCTTATGAATGCTAGGCCTGTGCTCTGCCTGGGAGCCCCATCCACAGCCCTCCTGTTGTTGTTGTTGTTGTTGTTGTTGTTGTTGTTGCTGCTGCTGCTGCTGCTGCTGCTGTTGTTATTGTTGTTTTAGATTGAGCCTCAAGTAGCTCAGGCTGGCCTTGAACTCTCTAAATAGCAGTGGATGACTTTGAACCCATGGTCCTCCCACTTCCTCCTCCTGAATGCCAGGGTTACGAGGCATTTGTGCTCACACCCGGTTTATGCAGTGCTGGGAGCCAAGCCCGGGACTTTGTGCTGCTAGGCAGCCTCTGTACCAACTGAGTTACCCCTGAGCCCAATATCTATGCTTGGTTTCTTTTAATTTTTTATAGAGTTATTCACTAATGGGGGAGTCGGGGTGGCTACAATACATGCATGAGGTTACAGGAGTCAGTTCTGCACACACACACACACACACACCCGGCCATGTATGTTCCAGGGATGGAACTTAGGTTGTCAGTCTTGGCAAGAAGCGCCGTTCCGCGTTGAGCCGACTCGCCATCTTTCCTGTGTTTTGAAACAGTCTGTGTTCGGCGCTAGACCACCCTTCCTCCCCTGGGCATCACCAGAAACACTTGGCTCTGCTTATGAAGAGAACAGCATTCACACTTCTGGAGTGTGGAGGGAGGGA